GGGGCTGGGGGCTCCCAAACTACCCCCAGCGGAGGAGGGAAGGAGGAGGAGATGCCCGCAAACTGCGGGGAGAGCCGAGGGACTTACAGCCGACCCTCACATCCCTCCTGCCCGCCCCCTCTCCTGCCCCGGGAGCGGCAGTGGCTGCACTGGAAGGTCCTCGTGGTGGGACAGAAGATACAACTGAAAAACAGCGACCCTTCTGTCTCCATCACCTCCCCTTGCATCTTGTGCATAAAAGCCAAATCATTACCCTAGAGACTAATAATACGGTAATTATAACATTTGCGATCTGGGAATTTCAGGATGTTTACCAAAAAAGTTATTATTTCACTGTGAAATTGCTACCGTGAGGTCTTTAAGTATCCCTAGAGAGCTGAACGCAAGCTCGGAGAATACGGAGCAGGGCGGATTTTTTTGTCCCGGCACGCGACACGTGCCCTGAGGAGACGCCCACCGGCTCTCCTTCACCTCGCTTTCCGCGCTCCAGCCTCCGCTCCCAGGGAGGCAGGGGTGGGAAGTGAGCTGCCAGTACTCATCAGCTGGGAGGAGAACGCTCTCGATCTATTTTCAGCTGCTGGCCACCTGCTAAGCCACAGAAATGCTGCCTTCAAACACCAGAAAAAGACTTTGAAAAGAAATGGGGATGACTGTAATCTCCGCTGCACTGCTGCCGAAACTCCCCTGAAGTGGGGAGCGCTTTCATCACGGAGATCACAGCGCAGGCTGAGTTGCAGAGAGGAGCTGTTTTCCTCTTTTGTTGTTGTTTCTTGTTTGTTTGTTTGATTGCCAAACTGTAAGTTCAAAACCCAGTTTGCAGGTTGGTCTGTGGCGCCAGGGCCCAATGTGGCTGACGGGCAGGCGGGGAAGGAGGGCAGAAGGGCCGGGAGCTGGCAACCTCCAAGCGATGGAGCAGTTGCTCCCACTCAGGGCAAGTGGGAAACCCTCCGCTGGGCAAGGCAGCAGGGGGTCAGCAGCCTCCCACCTCTCTGGGAGATACCACCCAGAGATGGTGCTTGGAAAAGCAAAACCGAGCAGAGCCTACCAGAGGTGTCTCGGGCTCCTCAGGGTTTGCAGGCAGCAATGGAGCAATGACATCCCCTTTCTTGGCTTTGCTCCACGTATTTTAGGCTTGCCGCTGGCTTCTTTGTAGCCAGTGCTCAGTTCTGAGATAACAATTTTCTGTGCAAGGGCCTAGTTAATACATCCTCTGGCATTTGATGACCAGGAAGAACTTGTTACCTGCTGGTTTTTTTTTTTTCCAGGCAATTCTTACTCCTCACTGCGTAAGAATTGCTTGCACACTCCCAAACAAGCTATTTACATGTGTACCCTGAGCTCTTGAGAAAACACTGGGCAACTGGAAAGCAAGTTGTTATGCTCAGTGAGACACTAGTAAATATGTTTTTCTCGC